CATTGTGCCACGAGTACGCATGCGCTTTTCTGGACTACTCCTCCGCCTTCAATACCGTCCCGCGTCCTCTTTTCCTTAACAAAACATCCGCGTGTGGTTCTGCATGCCCGGTCGTCTCTTGGCTTAACGATGATTTTACTTAACGTAATCATTTTCTTCAATCTGGCAAGCGGAAATCTATGGTATTTCCCAATGACTGAGGAGTTCTTCAACGTTCCATACTATTCCCTCCCCTTTCTCCTTCCACACATACGATCTAAGATCCCCTAACAACTGTCTTTTGGTTAAACCTGCTGATGGTGTGGTTGTTGGACACCCTCTGAAATGACAGACACATCTCCAGTCTCTAAAGCATGGCCTAAACCATGTCTTAGTATGGTCGGAGAAAAATGGCCTCCTAATGAAGAAACAAAAATGGGTCCAGTGTGTTTTTCGACTGCGGCCCTCTCCTAGTCCTGAATCCTCTGATATTCTTCCTAACGAGGTATCCTCTTTCAGGTTCCTTGCCGTTGCTTTGTCATCAAATCCACCGTTTTCCCTCCATATTGAGTCCGTATTTATTAAAGTTTGTAAACTTCTTTGTTTCATTAGTCGTTTGCGTTCCTTCCATACACCTAAACTCTTAGACTGGCGGTTCATAGATGCGCACACTCTTCGTCCTATCTTATACTGCTCTCCTGTCTTTTTTCCTGCTTTGCTCAATAGGATCCTTTAATTTTAAAACGAGTCCTCCGAATGCTCTTTTATGCCTCTGGTGTTTTTCTTATCTTATTTTAGTCGACATTATTTTACAACGACATTTCAATACGGTCACGTAGTTTTCTGGTCGGATTATAGATGACGTTGCTCATCCCTTGCATTATGTTCTTATTTCCGCGAAGTCTTCTCGCCCAATGTGCCGCGGCTTCCTACTTATGTCTTGTCGCATTTTGGCTTTTCGAGGTTTTGCATTGCCATTCCTGGCGTGATAGAAATACAGAAGTTAAGACTTGTACTGCCTTCATAATAATCAATCATTTTATGTTAAACTTGTTGACTCTGGAATAATCTATTAACTTATTTACAGCCCATAGTGACTGAAGCCATTTTTGCTGAATATTGTGAGTTTATGATTTTAAAATAAATCCAATTCCTCTCTCTCTAGTCAACTCGTAGAAATCAATCGAGTATATATAACGCTTTCTACCTCAAGCAAACCCACCAATCACTCGAAAATCTTTAATTTGCTTTAACCACATTTGCCTGTTTGTATGATGCTACACTCCGTTAAAGTATCGAAAATTCTGTGCCTGTTCCATTACACAAATTCCATCTCCTTATTATGTTGTACGTGAGGTGTAATATCAGTAGGCTTAAAAGTTTGCAGGGATGGAATTTAAGACGATCAAATGTTCATTTACACAGCATTAAGACACATTGCTTCCGTATGTGAAGCCCGTCAAGCTATAATAATTTCTTAATAACAAGGCCAGAATGAGTCATTCTGGATTTTTTGTAGTTGCGCGTGTTTGTCTCTAAAACAGGTTACAAATGTGGAAAGTCAGACACAATCAACACCGCTCTGGTTGTAGTCCATCGGCCTGAAACTATATCATTAACAGAAGATGCGTATGTGATGTGTATCTGTCACAAATCCCACCACATGCAGTGCTGAGTTCGCCTTTATGAATAAGCGTGATATACGTTGATGACGGCACACATATGGTTATATTTTGCCTCACTATTAAGTCTTGTTTACCTAAGGCTAGTCCTAATGTGAAAATAATTCAATAATCTGGGTCTAACTGAAGGGTTGACTATGCGTGTAATTGCGGTATTAATTAACCTGTGTCTCATGCGGATGGTCATGTTGGCTACAGACTCCGAAAATAAAAGTTCCTAAATTCAAACGTCAACTTATATGTGCTTATCTGGGATGTGTTATTTAATCTGCATTTGGGATTGCTTTGTTGGTTTTATAGTGGCTTCCTCCTGACGTACTTGACAAACCATTCCTCCGCACTTTATTGCTGGTTCCAGACGCAGCATATTAATTGAGAGCATTGTAAAATGTAAGGTTATTTTCCAGAAATGAGATACTGCGTTGCGAAATTCAAAAGGATTAATCGTAATATATGAAAGCTAAGGCAGATTTCAAGACTAATCTGCGAGATGCACTTGGAACGTCTACAGTATAAGATAAATTGTGCCACAAATGCAGTTACTGCAAACAGTCCACAATTATTTTAGCATTTGATTATAATCGTAATGAAATTAATCCACCGTGTAGGCTTATCAAATGGTATTGCATCGTCCTATTATTACAGCGATGCCTACATTAAAGCATGTAGCAAGTTTGACACAAAAAACTACCGTGAGGATTTTTATTTCTTTCTCTGTCATCTACAAATAGATAAGGCCGGTAATCCTCTTTTGGACACAATTATTCCCCAGAATAAGAAACCCCGGCTGCAAAACATACCTCTGTCCTTATTTCAATTTATGCAATATGTGACCTACATACTATGGGAATATTCGTGCGATAAATCCTCAGCAAACACACCCTGAGCATCGGCCATGCAGAAATGTGAACATACAAATGGAAGCGGACCACGGTGGATGTCCACAATCAGTCCTACGCGTGGACACTGCCGGACATGGGATATTGGGAGAAGCATTATCATCTCCTCGGATGTGCTGTGAATTAAACGCAACGAGAGGCTTCAACAGGGCAATGCCATCGATATGCGAAAGGTTCCGTCATGTGTGTTTATTTAATAATCATAGTCCTGCTTGCCTGTCTGGCAGAATACAATGTGAATTAGCCGAAAAGTAGGCCGGCATGATTGCAGCACTGGTCCCCTGTTGCCTCGCCTGAATATTGAGAGCTTTCCAATTTGTATTCAAAAGTGCTTGTATCACTGCCACCAAAATGCAGGAGGAATGGTCTATTTGAACGGTCTATGAGTAACGGAGCACGACTTAGTCGATTCGTTCTCGTTGGGTCACTTGATTTGCCGTCCAAGTTAAAACTCGTAAACACTCTGGACATTATTTTCGAGGAACTTTATGTCTACCAAACGAAACCAATGTGTTTCGTCCGTCAAAATGACTAATTCTAAATCTGCCTTTCGTGTCTCGTAATGAATACAAAATTGCTCGAAATTTTGACGTCCCTTATACTCATATTTCGCCAGGCCACTCAGAAAGAATTATATCAATACATATTTCGATATGTTTCTATACACGTATCAATGTAATGCCAGACGCAGCACAACTGTTAAGTGCATTTGAAGTGTATATAAAGAACATAAAGTAAAAATAAGTCCATATAAAATATCATTAATTGTATAGTTTGGAAAATTCAGAAGAAGCGTAATAGTTGTAAATGATTGACGTTCGGTATAAAATGCACAATGTGGTAAATTTTCTTTCCATCAACGCCATGCAGGCAGATTAGTTACTAATACTGATTGATTGAAACACGATTGAGCACGTCCTCGCCCAGATTTCAAGGATGCCAAAATGGCATGCATTTTGTCAATTTTTATGCAAACATACATGCAGTCTTGAGGCATAAATATTATCTGTCCGACACGCAAACAGCCTACTGATAATTAAGTCTCGGATACAAATATATGGACCATGGGGAAGTTTGAAGTGGCTTATTGTAAAGACCTGCATGAATTCCAGCATGACCCGGGTGCCCTGCGGCAAAATCGGCGCAAAGAGTCCAACAATTCCGATCAATGAATTTCATGAAGCTAATCTGATTAGATATCATTTCTGTAACAGGAAAGCAAGCAATGTTAAGGCCGAGTGATGAACGCGAAGGTGAGATCATGCGCAGGTGGCTGGCGCGCCGTGTGACTGTGCCTTGGGTTAACCATTACGCAGATGTGTCTGACGGACCTGATTTGCTCTCTACTCTTATTAGACCAGCGCAACTCCCGCTTTCCTTGTAGGACTTGCATTTCAGAATAGAATTACTTACAAGTCCGCAATTGATTTTTAGTTGCTTTTAACTAATATGTCATGTGTTGGAATAATTTGCAGGGGTTTGTTTAATGAAAATCAAAGCGAGTCAGTACGGTCTTCGGGGAATATTGATTTTAAAAAAAATATTTCTTTCCCAGGCCTTAGATAGGCTTTAAACAATTACAATAAAAAATTTTAATATGTGCAGGGAAACAGGCGACTAAACCAACATTTAAAATCCCAGTACGGATTGAACTGGTACGCCTATAAGTAGGCTTATGCATTATTTAGAAACAATGATTGTCATGCGCTGAAGCAGGCATAGGAAAATGTATCACATATGAGGCACCATTACTTATGATCATTCACATTCCATTATTCCATAGTTGAATACCAAGGTTGCAAATGTGGCAAAATAGTATTTCACAGTATCACAAACGAAACTCTTATTCATGTGCCTGGTTATTCTATTCGACAAATGTTCTCCCTACACGACGAAAATCACGAAGTAAGGAAGGTATAACCAAAGGTTCATTTTACTCGATTAAGGCAACAGAATGACTAATGCCATAATGCAACTCTGAAAAATTTACAACACCCACTCATATATACATTCGATTTCTCAAAATGTCACCGAAAATATTATAGCGGATAATGAAAGTAAATTCGTTTGCACTAAGTCAAGTTTATGATTGCCAACATACGATGCACTCCCACGATATCAGCCATGAAACACGACAGTCAATAGAATAGACATGAACGTCAATGTGCGCACATGCTTAAGATAGGAGAGTTGTCAGCTGTGAAATCTACGCCCTCGTCAACAGAATAAGCTAACCCAATCAACTCCGTTTTGGGCAGTCTACACAAATATATAAGGAGTCAGATTTGGGGTCTTTACAAGCCACTGCATTCACCGACCTTGAGGTGAGTTAGCGCATCTGACATGTCAGTAGTCTATCAAACGACAGTAGTATCATCGTCATATACATTATGAATTTGTTACTGCGTTCTATGTTGGTTTTAGAACTGAGAACAGTACGATGATGAAGTTCTTGTTCAGCTTCCTACTTGTCCTCGCAGTTGCCTTCTATGGTATGTTCCAGAAACATTTGACTATAATCTCCTCCAAAGGGTTTCTCCTTAAATCAAATAAGTAAATCGCATTTTCCTCCCTAGCGTCCGCTGAGGAAACCACCGCAGAAGCGACGAGTACTTCTTCCACAGAAGTTAGTGTTTCTGAGACAGCTGGTAGTGACTCTACCAGTGACTCGCAATCTGGTCCTTCTTCAACTGCATCAGATGTAACTGTGTCTAGTAGTGTTGCTTCCTCCGAACCGCCATCTGTATCTACCGAAGGCGCAACGGGTGACTCTACCAGCGACACGCAATCTGGTCCTTCTTCAACTGCATCAGATGTAACTGTGTCTAGTAGTGTTGCTTCCTCCGAACCGCCATCTGTACCTACCGAAGGCGCAACGGGTGATTCCACAACGAACTCCGGCGCCTCAATCCTATCCATGGCACAGTGCCTTCTCCTGCCACTCCTGCTTGCTGTGTTCGCTAACCTGTAATGACATCTTCCATCACAAACACCTCCTAATAAACATGGTCTATTGAACGCCTTCTTAATTACTCAAATGGAGTAACAGGCAGTTACGCCGGCAGCTGTAACCACATCTGCATGTACATATACACACACACACATACACACACACGAGAGCCGTGGGCGATACGTCAGGCCGATTAGTGAGCCTGTTAGTTAAGGTGACACTTCCAAACATATACGATCCCAGCTTCTCACTCTTCCGTCATTCGTTTGGTGGTCCCAATACTGTCCTTCACGTGACGTCATAAATAGTTCCTCATGTATGGCTATATGTCACAACTGATTACCTCTCGTCTCACCCAACATAGTCGGTAAATATTTTGAAATAGACCCATCGTCCGCTCATTGTTCGAGAGACATGGAATGAAACAGACTTCGCATATGAATCCGACCCATTGTAAATACGCACGCTAAGAAATATGTACTAAATATATGAGACGTCATCTCGGTTACGATGGTGTATTACATGGCCTTTTAATGATATTTACAACGTAGCACGATCCAAATGCATCTTATACGCACCCGAATTCTGACTTTTCAAAGCGTTCCTTTTTGAGTTTGCATCATATTCGGATGTTCTACAAAACGCGTACAGCCATGGTAAGGAATATTTACAATGATTTTCGATAGACTGAATTTGCCAAACATTACGTTTCTTCAGCACGTAGCAAATTACGTCGTTTACACTTACCGTGCCCCATATTACCATAGCGTCTTATTTAGTAATTTTGCAATTTGTTGGTTGTTTCATGAAATACGCGGTCTGGTTCATACCAGTTGAAAACTGTTTGAAGATACTTATGAGAACTCCTTAATAGCGTACAGATGTTTACCATCTTTATTAAATGGGATTAATGCATTTTCATTTCGCAAATGCTCCCAGTTAGTGGCGCGTCTGACGCGATCTGAAATTATCCAGGAATTTCAAAATTTGAAACGGGAAGGCAGTATTACGTCGAGATATATGATTGAACTCGTAATGCACTACGAGGGAGGTGCGAGAAGGTATGAATATCCGATGCTTCTATACATTGATTGATATGACCACACATATTTAATGAAAAAGCCATATGAATTAGGAATTCATTTTTGAGAGTATGCTTATGCTAAATGCTAGAGAGACTGTCATTCCAATGTCGAATTCCCGAACGTGACTGAAGTGTCTAGCGATTATGACGCTTACTAGTCACTATTGCCATCCCATTAAAATAAATATTTCTTACCTTGATGAGATTTTACCTGTGCGGTCAGCAGTCCGTGCTATATGATGCGCCGCATAACAAATGAGCAAATACTCCGGATTTTCCCGCGACACCTCGCATAAGAAAGCGTAGAAGTAAGACGTTTTACTAATTTCAAAGGCGTCTGCTCGGATTGCCAGTATTAAGTAAAGGCGTAGGCAGACAGATCACGGTGAAATTCGATTCAGATACGGCCGTAAAGCCGACATTGGCGGACTATGAATTTATCAATTCTTACTGGGCAAATGATATTCATTTATTTCAAAATGGGCAGGATAAACAACTGCTCAAATCGTTAAACCTCCAAGTGACCCCGTCATAGTGAATGTCTCCAATAGATCGGTCACAGAGTACAATTTCCGGAAATCTAGTGGTGTCAAGTACACATTGAGCAGCATGTGCGAAATTAACATACTCCCACCATCTGCCAACATTATGCTTCGCCCGACGGCTTAGCATTGCGTTTTACAGAAATCCTCCTTGCAATCCGTTTAACCAAAACAACTTAGTCGAATACACAAGTGTGCCTGTCAGCCCAATAATCGTTTAATTATTTGAATAGACTCGAGATGCAATAGAACCTACACTAAGATGCAATTGCGGCATCTGGCAATGACAGCTTAAAAATACCTCGGAGAACGTAGGAAACAAATGCATATAATATGGGACCGGGACAAAGTTAGACGATACGGCTAGTGTATCCTCTTGCAAACATAAGTCAGACTTGCGATTTTCCCGCTCATCTACTTGTAATTGTCTGGTTAAATGCAGATAATAAATATGAGCAGCAGTGTTTACGATGTCTGCTTATTTCCGTTTCATGTTCCATGTAGGAGTAAAAGTAATGAACAAAAAAGCATTCCGTAAACTCTGGTAATTCGGAGGTGTTTGTGTTGGCTGTTTGCGTTGCTGATGCGAACGCAATAGATACAATGTCAGC